GCACTTTGAGAAATTCAATTTGTTTTGGGTGCTAATGCTAAATAGTATATTTGCATCCCGCGGTGCACTTCATATCTAAAAGAGTCAAATAGAACCGTCAAACACTGTGCTTTCAGCGCACTTTGAGAAATTCAATTTGTTTTGGGTGCTAATGCTAAATAGTATATTTGCATCCCGCGGTGCACTTCATATCTAAAAGAGTCAAATAGAACCGTCAAACACTGTGCTTTCAGCGCACTTTGAGAAATTCAATTTGTTTTGGGTGCTAATGCTAAATAGTATATTTGCATCCCGCGGTGCACTTCATATCTAAAAGAGTCAAATAGAACCGTCAAACACTGTGCTTTCAGCGCACTTTGAGAAATTCAATTTGTTTTGGGTGCTAATGCTAAATAGTATATTTGCATCCCGCGGTGCACTTCATATCTAAAAGAGTCAAATAGAACCGTCAAACACTGTGCTTTCAGCGCACTTTGAAAAATTCAAATTGTCTTTGGTGATAAAAAGTAAATTTGAGGTGTGCACTTCATATCTGAGAGTCAAATACTGTGCTTACAGCGCACTTTGAAAAATTCTAATTGTTTTGGGTGCTAAATAGTACATTTTCGGCGTGCTCTTCATATCTGACAGTCAAATCGAACCGTCAAACATTGTGCTTACAGCGCACTTTGAAAAATTCAAAATGTTTTGGGTGATAAAAAGTTAATTTGGGGTGTGCACTTCATATCTGAGAGACAAATAAAACCGGAAAATACTGTGCTTACAGCGCACTTTGAAAAATTCAAATGGTTTTGGGTGCTAATGCTAAATAATACACTTGCATCCTGCGGTGCACTTCATATCTGAGAGTCAAATAGAACCGTCAAACACTGTGCTTACAGTGCACTTTTAAAAATTCTATTTGTTTTAGGTGCTAAATAGTAAATTTGCAGCCTGCACTTCATATCTGACATTTAAATAGAACTGTCAAACACTGTGCTTACAGTGCACTTTGAAAAATTTAAATTGTTTTTGGTGCTAAATAGTACATTTGCGTCCTGCGGTGCACTTCATATCTGAGAGTCAAATAGAACCGTCAAACACTGTGCTTACAGCGCACTTTGAGAAATTCAATTTGTTTTGGGTGCTAATGCTAAATAGTATATTTGCATCCCGCGGTGCACTTCATATCTAAAAGAGTCAAATAGAACCGTCAAACACTGTGCTTTCAGCGCACTTTGAAAAATTCAAATTGTCTTTGGTGATAAAAAGTAAATTTGAGGTGTGCACTTCATATCTTAGAGTCAAATACTGTGCTTTCAGTGCACTTTGAAAAATTCAAATAGTTTAGGGTTCTAATGCTAAATAGTACATGTGCGTCCTGCGGTGCACTTCATATCTGAGAGTCAAATAGAACCGTCAAACACTGTGCTTACAGTGCACTTTGAAAACCCTAGTAGGTGGAGGATGATGAGGTCCTTGACCCCACATGGAATCAAGGTCATGCGAGTGATGTGTGCAGTTTGGAGGAAGAGGCGCTGGTCGCACAGAGGCACCAGCACAGCATAAGAGGGAGCAGGGTGCAAAAGCGGAGCGGCCGTCCCCTAGCGCTCGTCAGCATGTATTAGCTCGAGAATAACCACAGTTATTCTCATAACAGGTGGAGCAATCAAAGGATC